ATTTTATTTTCCACACAATATAATATCTAATCATAAGCATGCCAAAGAAAAAAGTTGACGAAGGCAATAAGTGTAGGTTGACGATGTGGGTGTCTATGTAAAGTGTTGGCCTTCTCGTCATCCATATCCCACATCCATCCTCATTCCGCAACATATCAAAACGAATTATCATCTATAAAAATTTTAATAAACTAACGATTAAAATTTTTAATAAGAATTGTATTAAAAAAAGAATCTTTTTTTTGTAATGTGTTTAATTCATTATATACAGTTATGCTCAAAATTAATTATCCATATACGCGATCACTTTGTTTTTCTAATATCTCAAGATGGTTTCAACAGATTGAGTCGTAATTATTGCCACAATATAGTTCAACTTTTATTGTTTAACTTCTCAACATATTAGCTCTCTATATCATAAAGAACGGCGGACAGTTTATCCACAAATCGTCTCTATTCGAAAATTACTTTGAAAATCAGCATTACCTTACAAATAATGCTTTTCCCTTCATCGTTGAACCACTCTTGATGCACGTGAATGATTTTCCTGAACACTTCATAGTCCATTCTATGAGACAGTCAATCAATCTATCCAGACCAGATTTCTGCTTGTGATAGCATGATGCAGTGACTATAATCACCAGGTTTTTCAATGCGCGAGTGTCCCTTTTTTTCAGAGATGCTGACGACATCGTTTGGTTTCGATCCACTCAGTGCACAGAAGATCCTTCAGCTACCATGACCATTCAGTTTGACATACTAGAGATCACCCGATTGTTTGACCTGTGGCGCGTATATTTGTAGTACCATCAGTATACCGGAGTACTTGTGAGAGCCGAATACAGAACCATAATTTAATTTTAATTGTACTTAAGACTTGTGGTTCCAACTGTAAACAGTTTCAGAGAATGTTTTTCACAAAAATTCGAATTTAATAGTAAAAAGAATTAAAATTCATCGAGACAAAAATAATTCTATAATTTATACTAGAGATAAAAGTTTTCGAGAGCGCCCATGTATAATAAACAAGTTTGTTTCAGAACTGGATTTGATATCGGTTATCTGGCTAGTACAGGGGGCTTAGCCGTATTTACACTATAAGAGTGTATCAAAACCGGCTAAATTCTGTCGGTTTCAAGAGACATAAAAAACTTACAGGCGCTTCGATACAATGCATCATGATACACCATCTTCAGAAAGAAAACCGAGATCTACTATCGATAAACCACATATTATCGTGACAGGTATGCTGAAGATCTACCTGTAATTTTGGTGTAGTTTGAATCGGATTGGTTCTACATATTTGCGAGGGTCTCCACAACTCACTTGCTTTCCATAAGTTGTGGAGCCATCCGTTTTCTTGGCTATGAGCAATATGACACTAGGAAGCTCAAGAACAATTGGCAACAAATACTGCGAATATTCACAATTCAAAACGTATTTCTGAGTTTGAACCTCTCTCTGACATTTACAATGTAAATATCTCTGCACCTTAACTCGTTGGTAGTAATTATATTCCTCCATGGCTTTTCTCTTCAGAGTTAAACTCATCATATATCACTTCGCGATATTTCACAAACGAGAGTAATATATACTCCTTAGCCTTACGGACCCATGGAGCACACTCTACTTCTTATTGAGCACAACAAGTCCAATATTCAATATGTTGGTATCTCATCTATTCGCTTTCTGAACTATCCTAGACTATCATCAATATCACACAAATCAAACTGATGTCAAAAACCAATAACACAATCGATTACAACTTTTCACACGGTTTTGAAGACAATGCATTTTCATAATTTTTTTTTGACGTTATTTTGTAGCTCCCAAAACGTTCTCTCTGTCCTAAAAAGAATGGCTCTAATGTCATGATTAATGATGAAGATCCTGTGGACACAGCTGTCAAATATTATCCTATTTGTGTACGGTTGTAGCAGTGTCTCCTTTCAAGAATATCAAGGGCAGCATATTTTCATTGATATTTTGGCATCATTTTGAAGTTCTCAAAAAGCTTCGTCTATCCTGAAAAAAAGTAGCAATCTCGCATTGAAAAACCTGGTGATTATAGGCACTACATCATGCTATCACAGGCAGAAATCTGCTCTGGATAGATTGATTGACTATCTCATAGAATGGACTATGAAGTGTTCAGAAAAATCATTCATGTACATCGAGTGTGGTTCAATGGTGAAGATAAAAGCATTATTTGTAAGGTAGTCCTGATTTCCAAAGTAATTTTGAAATAGGACGGATTTGTGGACAAACTCTCCTTCGTCCTTTACTTTGTTAGAATGCGAAGTACAATATTCATTCATGATTGATTTTGAATTATATCGAAGCACATCAATTTTAGTATTTCTAGTCTAGCAAAGTAAATATATCACATAAAGTGCTAATATTTTGCAGAAATAAATTATAAAAATGCGGCTGTATTTTGACAAAAATATAATTGATATGGGCGGTGAAATGGATTGATTCTAAAGTAGACTAAATATTTGTCATAAGATCTTTATTTGAAAGTTAAAAACGAGAGAAGACAAGTTTTTCAATGCCATTGACATGAAATATAGTTAGTGTCTTTTTTATCGACCTCACATTTTGCAACATGTAACAGTTGTGCAGATCAGAAAAAAAATTCACAATTTGAGTAGAAACCACGCCCTTTGAAGAAACATGCGAATGCTTATCTTAATCGAAATGCAACTTTGAAAAGAATAGGTTTTGATCTGTTTTACTGAAAAAAAAAGTGTAATGGCGAAGCAGAAATATTTTACAAAAAAAAAACACATGTTTCATTGTGAGCTTCTTCACTGTTGAAAATGCTTAATAAACATATAAACTTAGTCATCGAAGGCAAAATAAAAGTTTAGGCAGATTCTAGTTAGTCTGATTCAAATTTTCCGTACAGTTCTTCTTCACTTGTAATGAAAGCTCCTCACTTGGAATCATTGCTGATATATGATTCAATATTTTCTTTTACAAAACCTAATTTTTTCTCAAAAACGTTTTTCTAAGTCTGTTTCATTAAAAGAAAATATTATTATTAGCCGCCAGACGCGACGAAAAATATTGACGTTTGTATAAGGTAAAAGTAACGTGTTGCTCAACTCTATCAAACTGATGAACAGAGAAAAGTGTTTGAGCCTAGTCAAAACTTGTAGTTCTGTCTTCTACGGTAATTGATAATAAATTAACACGAATTTTGATCTGATCAATTGTTTCATTCTGTCACAATAATGATTAACATTTTTGAAAACTTTTCAGTTTTCTTAAAATGTTAAGTTTTTTTTTTCTACTTACAATTTGTTTGATGTTTTCTGTTGTTCCTGATAGTTTTTATTCGATATAATCTTTAAAACTGTATAGCACAAAATCATAAAAATAATGAATTCTTCATCATATTTTCATTCTGGTTACTCTATTGATTGATTATTAAACTGTGTAAGCATCGATTTTGTTTTCAAGGCATTCAATCACTGATTGTCATAAGTTCATTAAAATTGGCTCAAATAGCTTTTTATCAGAATGATTGATCACAAAAAAAAAAAGAAGAAAAAAGGAACAATGAACAGCAAAAAAAAAAACAAGTAATAGAATGAATAAGAATTCGTTAATTTTCATTGCCAAACCTCATTTTGTTTCTTTTTCTTTATAACTCATACTGCCTATGCAAACGTTAACATACGTTTTTTTTTTCTTCTTTTTTTACTTTCTTCCCAGTTTCTTTTTTCTAGTTTATAAACAATATATTTATTTTGTTCACAAAAAATTTCAATCGATTTTAAGAATTTAATTACTAAAGCAAGTAAGAGTTATTTTTTTTTTTATTTTCTATAAAATACTTATTAAGAATATTTTTCAATTAATTATCTTCAAAATATAATGACAAATTTTTTTTTTTGTCTCGATAAAGAAATCAGATTTATATATGTTCAGAAAAAATTCTCAATTCAATTTAGAATAAAACGAAAATCTTCTAACTTGAATTACGATCAATGTAATATATATATATATATTAATTTGTATATCTTTTTCGTTTATATTTTTTACTATAGTTGAACAAATGGAAATATTGTCTAGCCGAACATCATCATTAACAATAGATCCATTGAGTCGTATATTTGTTTTCACAAGTGGTCTTTTTTCTATAGTTGCTTTGATTTTATCAATTGTGGGTACAGCTACATATTCATGGTATTTTAATCAAGATTCAACTGGTAAAACAGTCTATTATAATTTTTTTACTCAATGTACAGGGAGTTTACTTAATGCATCATCAACTTGTTTTGATATGCAACGTAATACTATACTTGGTCTCGGTACTCAAAATGCAGCAGGACTTTTAGTTGTTGCACTTTGTCTACTTGGTCTTGGAATGTTAATTATTTTGTCTATGAATTTTATTCAATTAACTGGTTCATTAGCTTTTATTGCACCAATAATACTTTTTCTAGCAGCTCTTTTTATGGTTGCAGCTCTTGCTACAGGTTCACGTGTTACAACATATAATAGTTATAGTGCTAATCTTGTTGAAACCGGACATTTACTTACGATATTTTCAATGGGTTTAATTGCTTTTGCTAGTGGTCGATTACATTTTCGATATTATGAATTTTGAAAAAAAATGTTACTTCTTTTTTTTTTTTTTTTTTATTCATAATGATAAAATATGTTTTAGGAAAGAATAATAAATTGATATATATATATATTTTTTTTTTGTGCTTGAAAATTGCTTTTTTTTAAATAATAAATATTTAATGCAAAGACTTGATTTTTATATAAGAAAAGCAACCTTCATTGTTTATTACGTCTTATAAATTGTCCTTTCAATTCTATGAAGAAAAAAATATTCACATCAACTCGATTGTCGTGCTGTTCGATAGCGACTTCCATGTTGTACAGAGGCATTGCTATGGTATGAGTAAAAGAAAATGAAAAAAAATGAGAAATAAATGATGCTTGTTTAAGTGCATATTGACGTCGCTGAAATTATAAACATGCAGCAAGTGCGTTCAAATCGAGAACCAGTACATGAAACAGCTGCTCGTGGAGGAGGAGGAGAAGGAGGATCTCCTATTGCTGCTCGCACTGAAATAGCGTCATTATTTAATGACTACACTGGTCCACCACGACATTGTATGTATTTTATAATAAAATTGTTTGTTTCTTCTTCCTTGCTAGATGATTATATTTATGTATATATATATATATATGAAATATTTAGATCATGATCGTCTAGAATCCCTTGAACGTGAAATGGCTTCACTAAAAGGTCAAGTCAATCAAGCCTTTTTAACTCCATCAAATGAACCCGAACTCAATCGTACACATTCGACTAGGAAACCACCAATTTCACAACCGACATCAGCTCGAGTTCCAAGTCCTCCTCGTATCCCATTACCGCCTAATACTCGAAAAACATCCAATGATGAAACGCAGATAATTTCTACGCATGATGGACCTTTTTCACGTGCTCTACCTCAAGTACCTGTTCCTCGTAGTAAAAGTTTTCATAATGGTGCATTACAATCATCATCCTCTCAACCGACAAATAGTTCGGATGAAGCTAATCTTCTTCGATCTTATAGAGCACATCTTGAACAAGTACTTCGTAAAGATGCACCACCATTTTCGGATATTAAAGTACCAAATTATACATCTATAGAAGATGTTCTGAAAGCAAATGAGGTATTACTTTGTTATATCATTATAGGAATAATTGTTTTCATTTTTATTTATAAAAATCAAGCAACTATTACTTGAAAATGATCGTATTCGATCGGAATTGAATCGATTAAAAACAGAAAGTATTTTATTACTTCGATCTATGAGATCAAACGCTGGATTAGAACCAAATTTGGGCAATGAACGGGTTTGATAATAAAGTTCTTTTTTTTGTTTTTTGTCAATTTTTTTATTATTATTCATATTATAGATTATTGCAGAACGTGAACGTCAAGAATTAGCTATTGAATTAGCACGTCAAGTCGAAGAAAATAAACGTCTTCGTCGATCATTATTGGCTCAATCTGCAAAATTTTTAACATTACGTCAATCGACAAATGCTACTGATGCTTCTCTATCGACATCCAATGATCATCGTCTTACGCCGGTAAGAATAATCTTTGTTATAATTGATATTTTGATTTTTGTTTTTCGAATTAAGGAATCTGCACCACAGCCAACGCTTAATTTTAATAAAACTCAACCACAATCAAAATCAGCTCGTTTTATCGTTGGTAATCGAGGCAATGCTCGACCTCGAACATTCAATCATGGCTCACACGATCCATTGTAAATCGTTAATTATAGATCTGTGTGTGCAATATATCTTTCGTTCATTGTTATTTCTATTTGACACACTTTATTTGAAAATTTTATAATCACTCAACTTTTCTCTCTTTTTTTTTTTATAAATTCATTTGGTGAAGAAATGAATATATATCTATTTCGTTCGATGTGAAAGTTGAATAATTCCGAACATATAAAAAAAAAAAAAGAAGTCTATTCGTTAAATTAGTTTAAATAATATTCAAATATCTATATGGTTTTATTTCATTACGGATTGTTTTTATTGGGGTTAACACTCTCAAAATTATGAGTCTAATTAATTTACTCTATAATATCGTTCTAGACAATAAAGATTACATTCACGATTTTACTTTTGTTTATTACGTGATGCATACATCAAAGCAACTGATAGTGTTGGAATAAAAAATAAACAAAACATTACAATATATAGTTTTATATACATTTAATTATAATCAATAGAACTTATTGTATTTGAAAACTGAAACATAAACGACAAATATTTTATCTTTGTTTTAAAAATGAAAGGATCTAATGAACACTTTACAGCATAGTTAAATAATAATTAATTCCTATTGAAAAAAAAAAAAGAATTGATTTTTCAGTCTGTTGAATAATATTAAAAGTATCAAATCTAAAACTGACTATTAACTTAGATTGACTGGGGTTTTTTTATGTTCGATTAAAAAAATATGTTCGGATATATTTTTTTCTCTATTGATCAAATGGTATCAATTATAACAAACAGATATAACGACATTGACATGATTTCTTTCGAAACCAACTATATGAAAACAAAAAAGAATTATCGTATATTTCTCGAATATATTTTATTAAGTCCATATGTCAGAAAAAATGAAAATATCACAGATATTCAAATAGAACAGACAATAATCATTCGAACAAGCAGTAATATTCTTTGTTGTTTACATATATATACAGCAAAACATTTTGTTTTAAGGTAAATATATCATTAAGAAGTGAATAGTAGTGTATTGTTATTATTAAATGTATTAGAATAACAATGCAGTTTCGATCAATCATCTCACTTTTCATTGCAGCATGTTTACTTATTGTAACTTTTGTTGGCAATGTAGCTGGTTTGTATAATATAATTATATAATACAAAAGAAAATGTTTATTATTAATAATCATTTGTAGAAAGTGGAACTATTCTTGATAGTTCAAATAAGAAAAATTTCCTTATTCAACGTCTAGGACGTACAGCACGTAATACACATCACCGTTATAGACGACAATATGATAATGATGATAGCAATATATATGATACTGATAGCAGTGGATCTACTATTGATGATGGAAATTATTCTATGAATAATGAATATCAAAATCAACGAAGTGATGATCAAGGTAGCAATTCAATGGATACTAATCAAAATTGATAAGAAAAATTTGTTTGGTTATGAATGAACAAATTACTGATTGAATTATCTATTGGATTTTGTGTCTTTTCTTGGGCTCGTACTTTTTCTTGAAATGTAAAGAAAAAAAGCAATAAAAATTTCTGATGTATCTCTATAGATAATTCTCTAACGATATAGCAGAGATATCTATGATAACACGGCAGTAACAGCTTCTTTTTCAAGGAGATTGTGAAATTATATGGACTTATACTCGATTTGAGTATCTATAAATCCAACAATCAGAACTGTAGTGAATCTGATGGATTCAATCTAACTGTACAAATTTAGCACAGTAACGGACGAGATTTTCGAAGCGTTTTTCGAAAGCTATTGCGCTAGCGACAGGTTTCCAGCCACGATGAGCATCTTTGCTGTATAGATATTTATTACTTTATTTTGTCAAAGATTATTGAAAATGAATGTTGAAATAAAGAGATAGAAATTTTAATTCACACTCTCTGCTCCCAAAGACCATGATAGACACCTGGCCAACTGATCACAGACTGACAGACTCTATTGACATAAGATCATAAACTGAACATCTATAATGTCTCATTATAATATATATGAACTACTTCCTTATTACATTCTTGAACGATTAAGTATACAGGTGGGTGTGGGTGTGGGTGGGGTGTGGGTGTGGGGTGTGGGTGTGGGTGTGTGTGTGCGGGGGTCGGTGTGTGGGTGTGGTGTGGGTGTGGGTGTGGGGGTGGTTAGGAGCA